TTTATCTTTTCTTATAACTGCAAACTCCAGTCTCAAGGATTCAGGAGGAGACAGGGGTGCCAAGAAATGTCTTTCCTTTTCCTTTGTCCACACAAGCTGGTTTCTGTCAGATAATGCTCCACCACATTCACATTAATGAAGAGGAAGATATAGAAAATCTTTTTCTGACCTCAAACTTGCATGATATAATTTCCTATAAAATAATTTAATCAAGTGCTGCTACTGTAGTAGCTAGGTTTAACTTCTGCTTTTTTACTTCATTGACTTAGCATAGATAGGAGAGAAATGGCTTAAACAGTTTTAAAATTGTATTTTACTGTGCTAAAGATTGTTAAAGAATGATGCAGAATAGCAAACCCTTCCCAGGTTTTCTTGTGCATGACCTTGACAATATTAGCACTCTAGCCCTTTGTACTTTGCCTGTAGCAATGTGAAAATGTTTATCATGCCTTGGAAGAACAGTACATTCATTATTGTCCCCCCGCATCCTCCCCCTTACTGGGGGGAGAGGGGTGAAAGAGTTTAATGAAAATTGTATTTCTATTAGCAGAATGAGAAATTATCAGACTTAATTGGAAAAAAAGAAGAAAAGGCACTTAATTTAGAAGGAAATGGTTACATAAATATTTTAATTAATAACTGGTTTGGTGAAAGAACAGAAATAATCGTAATTAGAAAAACTGAAGTAATGTAACCATTTTTTTAAATTATTCATCTGTAAACTGTTTTCTAATTAAAACTCAATTTTCTTTTTCATTCTCCCTTCATTTTTCATGTAATAGAAAATCATTTTATTTGATGTGCATAAACTTCTTAAAATGTTAAGAAAATTATTACCAAAAGAGTTGAGATTAGGGCAGATCAAGTGCAGGTGCAAGAGAATATTTCTGCATAAGTTTCCTTTTATTGATTTTTAAGGGCATGCGAAATTCAGTTTCACTTCTAAGGCTGATAACACTAGGAGTCCTTTAAAATGTTAGGCATATCTGTATGCTACACCAGTAAAAACCTCTTTTTATGGATGTGGCCATATCTGCAGAGCTTCACTTTGTTCCACTACAGTAAAACCACCCCATCATGAGCAAAGCAAGGCTTTGTTATTGTAATAACAGCGCTTGCAGAAGAGTTTTCTGCTGGCAAAGCCATATCAGTCATGGATCATAGCCCACCATCCCCTGACTGACAAAACTATAAGCTGGCAGAAGTCTGCAGGGTAGGCCTAGTCTGAGAGTTGCTGTTGAGGCCTAGGTAACTTGCTCACAAAAATAATTGTAGCTTTTGATAACCACATTTATGTATGTTAGCAGGATTTACATTTTATTCAGTCAAAATGTACTTTCATAGAAATATTACAGGAATAATTAATGGAAGCTGTGATTAATTTGGGAGTAACCAGGTTATAGCTCTATTTACATGTTGATTGCATTGTATCCTTCAGTATTAATACCCTTTGATTGTCTTTTTAGTAGTGAAAACAGATGTAGATAGAGAGATTAGGGAAATACAGACAGCTTTCTAAAGTTGATGATGATTAAATATGTATCAGCAAGTTAGTAACTGCAGTCTTTATGAGTTTCTGGACCAAGGTAGTGTCTTATTTTGAACTCTGATATTAGATGAACAAAACTTTTTAATGGCTCTGAAACTGCTATAAGATGCAAGTGCCATTCTCTTCCAAAATAAAATCAAGTTACAACCATCCCAGCTCACTGGATTGTGACAAAATGAGATTTTAATGGTGAAAAGTTCAATATACCCAAATCTTACTAAAGCATAGTAACCATACATTTGCTCTTCATTTTGCTTCTGAAATAATTTATTTCCAATTTGCATTTGTATACAATTGGTATATACATTTGGTCTATACATTGGTATAGACATCTTTGTTTGCAAAGATTATTTATCACTTTCTTATACCTGTGATAATAATGAAGGTACAGGTATTGAGTTAAATTAATCTCGTTGTATTAGGAGCATCTATAGTGGGGATAGTTTTACTGATCTTTCTCCATTAGTGCAAACAGCAGACAGTCGCACTCTGTTTTCAAACCAGAAGTTCCCTATAAGATGGCTTTATGTTAAGTGGAGCAGTACACCTAGAATTGAGATTTTCACCAAAGGCTCTCAACAGTATGGACAGCCCTGTAGTTATCCAGTTAAATAATATAACTTAAAGCTGAAAAGCAACTTAGCTGGACTGTAAGCAGATCCAAAACTAGAATTAACTTTTTTTTTTCCTTTGCAGTAACAACAGGAAGGAAAGCGATGACCATAGTGCTTTCTTTTTTGTTCTTTGCAAAGCCATTCACATTCCAGTAAGTATTTTATTGTCCTTTTAGTTTGCACTGCATAAAATCGGGTTCTTGATCATGGAAGGTGTAACAGTATAATTGATAAATCTTAATCAGACTTTGATGGTTTTCATTTTGCATCTCTTATAAGCGTGCGGTTTGTTGTTATGATTGATTAGTGGTTGATAACTGTGTTAGAAAAAGCAGTTTCCAGCTTTCTGAAACATCAGAAGACAAATCTGTTATACATCTACCATTCACTAGTAAATTGGTTATTTAGGGATTTGTGATACAGAGAAGACTTTTCCTAAATAATACATTCTCCATTAAAATGCTTTCCTTTTTATGGGGCTCAAATTTGAAATCTCAGCTAGTATATTTTTTTATAATAAGCTTCTGTTTTCTTGACACACAAAATTATGATGCGTGTTTGCAACGGTAAAATAGCTTTTTAGAAGGGATATAAGAGTTTAACCAGGAGCTTAAATTGGTAAATAAGGCTAAATTATTACATCAAGCCTAATTACTTCTGGATTGGAACAAGATATTGTTAAACTTTATTGCCATCTGTAATTGTAACAGTTATATTGGAAGAGTGTAAGCAGAGGTTTCATCCAAATAAAGGATTTACAGAAAACAGATTTTTAACTTATTTCAACAGAAACAAATTATTTTGGATACTGGAACAAAATAGGAAATCAGAGATAAGAAGGCAGCGGCATAGGTTGCTGAGTAGAGGATCGTATTTATGAGCAGTAGAACTGAAGAAGCTTAGCTTCTGGAAACAGAAAAGAACAGCAGATGAGGGTTTTTGAGCTTGTTTCTCGGATAGAAAAAGCATTTACAAATAAATGCGTCTTGTCTACAAATGGTAACACAGAGGAATTTGTTTTTCTCCAGCCAGTTTATTTAAGAGTTGGAAAATGGGAAGGTGCCTCATCACTTCCTTTCTCTAAACTGAGATTATTCTAAAATGAGATTATTCTAAACTATCAGCTTCTTGAGGCAGAGACTTTTATTTTATGTGTATTATTTATGTTTCCCTTCTAATGACAAATAATTATAAACAAATAGCTGAAAGTTTTCTTCTTTATTTTGCCTTTAGGTATGTATGGTCAGGTTTATTAGTCGTCGCTGGCATATTTCTCAATGTTTACAGTAAGAATATGGATAAATTCAAGCTACCTTCAATACGCAGTCTTTGGAGCAAAACTCTGGAAGAGAGAAAAACAAGGACGTTGTCACAAACTGTGTAGACAGTGGCTTATGCTAAATCTTGAATCTGACTTATTATTTTATTGAAACAGTCTTTAACTGATACACTTTCCAAAGGGAACATTAAAACCAAAGGAGCTGAAGACATTGTCTGCTTTGAAGATGGTAGAAATGAAAATTATATGAGCCCTCTCTTCAGAGCACTTGAATTCCTCTTCTAAGGTGTTATAGGCCATTGTCACAAGGCATTACCAAGGTAATGAAGGACAGCAGCTCCTGGTAAACTGCTGAGAAACTGCACTCCAAATGGGACACAGTGGGAGATTAATTTGGGCATTTTAATAATAACAGCTGTGGCTGATTTAAGATTAGCAATTCTTTGTCTTTAGTAATTGTTTGGGTGGGGTTATTTATGCAGTACTATATTAACCTTTAATAGAATCAAATCAGTGACTGATTTAAACAAATTGAGGTTTTAAAGCTGGACGGTTTAGAATGTGGTATGCCATGAATTTTTCATTTTAAATAAAAATCTGGGTTTTTTATGTTCTTCATCAGATTGTCTCTAGATGACACATTTGTTAATATAATTGACGTTTCTGTGGAAGAATAGAAATCAGGCAGTGGTTTACTTTGGAAAATTTGACTTGCACAAATACGCCAAAAACAGTGATGAGCTACTTGTCCATTTATCTTCCCGTTGCTCTTATTTATTCAGCCTTTTAAAAACTAATGAGAACAGTCAAGAAAGGACCAAGAAGGTGTCTCTCTCTACAGAAAATATTTCACCATGAGAGGTCATGGGAAGTGTGTTCTTCTGTCTTCTATATTGTAGTGCCATAAAGTAGTGCAAGTACAAGTTCTCCAATTTAAGGGCATTTATACATGCTCCGGGGGGGGGGGCGCTTTAATTAGAGCGACTCCGAGTGCCAAGCTAATTAAAGCACCTGAAGCATCATGTGCATCAATGTCCCTGCGCTGAAAAATGGTACCAGACATGCTTTAACTAAAGCTCATTGAACAAGCTTTAGTTAAAGCGCCCCTGCTGCCATTTTTCAGCATGGGGACACTGATACATGTGACACTGGAATCTGCTGGAACATGGTAATTGCCATGCTCCAACAGACTCAATTAATCAGACACGCTTCAGACATATGGGTGCCCTAAGATAATTATCAATTGATTAAGTTTTTACCTCCAAAACTAAGTAGATAACAGTGGTATTGTTTGCTAAGGGTCAAACTGCCTGGCTTGATTCCAGGGGTGGGACCACAACTTTAATGATGATGCGGAGCTGTATCCTGCTACCCTTGTGCACATATGAGTCATTTAATTGGATCCACTTGAAGGCTATAGGGCTCCCACCATATAACCAGTAAGAGACATGCTTGACCTATTCATAGGACTGAGAGCTCATTTTTAATCTTTGTATGATCTCCTCCATGAAGAAGTAAAGGGCAGCTGCTAGGGTTGGCCCCCCAGTCTGCAGACTTCATGTTTCCTCTCCTTCCCTATGGGAAAAGGTACATTGCCCATATCCCAGGGCTTATTTACCCAAGACATCTGACGTGGTTATGGAATAATATGAAAAATAGGGCTGGAAAGACCTCAGAAAGCCATATAGTCCAGCCCTCTGCTCAAGGCAAGATCATGTGTAAGCCATGTTATCCAGGTGTTTGTCTAACATGCTCTTAAACATTTCCACTGATAGAGATCCCATAGCTTTGCTGTGTAGTCTGTTTCAGTGCTTAATCACACGCTCTCTTACAATTTCTTCCTAATACCCATCCTAAATGTCCCTTGTTTCAATTTAAGGGAGTTAGCACTTGTTCTGTCCACTGTGGCTGCAGAAAATAGTCTATCGCTAACCTTTTTTAACTGCACTTCATGTACACAGATTGTTATCAAATCCCTTTGCAATTATTTTTTCAGACTAAGTAATCCCAGTTCTTCCAACCTTTTCTCCTAAATCAGGTTTTGTAGACATTTAATCATTTTTGTTCTTCTCTGCTGGACTCTTTTTCTACTTTATCCACCTCTTTCTTGAAGTCCAGTGCCCAAACCTGGACAACCGTACTAAAGGTCAGGCCTCCCGAGTTCTGAATAGAGTAGAAGAATCACTTCTCTTGACTTGCAGGCAGTACACCTGTTAAGACCCAGAATGCTGTTGGGTAAAAACCCATACATTTTTCTTGAGCACTGCTGCCAAGTCAGTTGTTTTTGCCCACGCTGAACAAATCGGTGAACGTCAGCCACAAGTTCCAATGAACTAAATATTCCAAATCTTACACTTTCCTAGCTAAATTACATTTCCGTCATGCTACAAGGAAGCCAAATACAAGCAGTCCTCAACTTAGAACATTTCAAGTTACAACATTTTGCACTTACAGCGTTTATAAATTGACACCCTGTTTCAACTTTATGACATCAGTTTCAACTTTACAATGCTTGATCCAATGCAATGCCACACCAGTGAACAAGTTCGCTGCATTGCTCATCCACCTGGAGAACATCTGTCCAAACTTCCTTGGACATCTTCTTTAAGAAAGCAGCCAAGACTCCAGAAAAACCTACAGCCAAGACTCCTGAGAAGGCTCCAGCCAAGAACCCTTCAAAAAGTCCAACTAAGAGTCCTTCAAAAAATCCAGCAGAGTCACCTCAAAGAAGTCCTTCCAAATCAATATGATTTATATTTACAATATAATTACGTTAATATAGCTATATTACTCATCTATAATTGATTGTGTACAAAATTCTGGGTTTTTTTTAGTGAAAATATGGTATCAGGCCTTGGTTCAGGAACCAATCCCCCATTTATAACATTGTTTCTTTTGAGAAAATTGGTTCCGAGTTACAACGTTTCGACTTAAGACGCTGTTTTCAGGAACCAATTGTGTCATACATTCAAGAAGTGCCTGTATTCATAGATCCCAATCTGGTCAACCCCATGGAGAAAAAAAAAGGCTATTAATCCCCAAAACCAGGTGCTCAGTCAGCCCATACAGTACCCTGAAAACAGCTCAAAATATATCCCTCAGTCATTTAGAATGAGGGTGGCCAACCCACTGCATACATACCACAAGTGACACTCGCAGTTGCTGTGTGGTATGTGAGCCCTGAGTACTCAGTAAGGGAAGGTTTCAGAATGGAGGCAGGGGGGCTCAAGCCTCTCCCTGAGTGAAGGAGAGCAGGGAAAGGATGCTGTAAGAGAGGTGTCCCTTCCCTGGCCCTGTAGCCACTGCCAAATTTGGGGCTTTGGGATACATGTGTTTGTTGGCGTTCTAATTAGAATCTGTTAGAATCCGTTCTAATTGGAATGCTCCAGTGTCACTGCAGCATCACGTGGATTAAGCCCTCGTGCATTTTAAAATGGCCGTGGGGCTGAATGAGGTTTAGATAAAGGGTCCCATGCCCATTTTAAACATGCAGGAGCTTAATATATGTAACGATTAAGTGTTTTAATTAGAGCGGCTCTCTGGGAATCACTCTAATTACAGCAGGAGGTTCCCCCACCTCCAAGCATGTGTATATGCAGCCTTGGATTCTCACTCACCATAAACTGTGACGGTTACAGGACCAGGGAAGGTTTCATGTGACTCTTGGCAATAAAGACCGTCTTACAGCAGCATCCTGCCTCTGCTTTGCTCCAGAGGGCTGGAGGCTTGAGCCCCCCTGTTTCCATTCCAGTGGCTCAGGGCTTGCTACTGAGGGGCAGGGTTTGGAATGATATTTAGGCAGGCAGCAAGACTTAACTTGTGACATCCCTGCCAAAAAGGTTAGCCACTGCTGACTTGGAAGGTGAGGCAGCAAACTCCAGCAAGACAGCTCCTGAACCCTGGAAAAGCATTACATTTAGAGGCGGGGCGGGGTGGGGCGGGAGTGTTTATGAGCACTATTTTTTCCTCCCTCCCCCACAATGACATATGGCACCCAGGAAATGCCCTCCACCGGGTACGTTTCCACATATGCTTAGGCACAAGAAAATCGGTTTAAGTGTGTCTGGTCATGAGCACCCCTCTCTCTCCCTTCAGAGTTAGGCATCCAGTCCATAGGACCAACCAACCTACTTCCCTCTCTGCCTCTAGGGAGGGGAAACTTTCATACTGTCTCCTTTATTTGTATGCTTAATCATATGTAAAATTGTGTCTACAAGCTTTGTCAACCTGCTTGAAAAACAGTCTATCTTGTGTTTCTGTATGTGCATCCTTTCGAAACTTATATACACCCTTGCTCAGTGTGGGCTTCTGTTACCATGGTTCTAAGAGGAAGAACAGTAGAGAGAGAACTTTCTGAGCAAAAATTGAACCTTTCCAAACTCTTTGGGGTGTGTAATGTAAGAAATAGTACATCATGACCACTGCTGTTTATATATAATTTTAAACCGAAACTGCTACACATGTGCAGGAGCTTTGTGAATCGGACTCAAGTGTCTGCTGGAACACTGTTTTATTTATGTATTTATTAGATTTATAGGCTGCCCATCTCAAAAAAGGGCTTAGGGTGGCTTCCATAATTAACATTTCAACTCAAATAGTAAGTGCTTCCTGAAACCAGGTAAATGAGCTAGGTCACTTAGAACCAACTCAGATATCTCTGCACTGGTTTGGGCTATTGTTGTTAAGTCTCATGACCTTTTATTAAACATCTTGCGGTATTTGGTATTTTTTTTAAACCTGCAGCTACCAGAATGATTGCATAGATCAGTTATACTGTAGAAAAAAGTATGCGCAGAGGTATGGAAATGATAATATAGGAAATTGACAGTAACACTGAGAGTAAAGGAACCTAGGACAATGTTAAAATTGACAAGGGATGATAAGTAGGACTAAAGTTTTCAGGCAGGATTTGAAAAATAGTGACAATTTTAAATTGGATGCAGTTAGTGGACTGGGAGCCAACCAAAGTAAGCTTGTTCAGTAGATTGTACTCTCCACCTCCCCACCCCCAACCAGAGTTACATAACTACTCCTAATGAGGACAAATTTGTTGCTTCATTTGAAAAAGATAGGTGTCCAGACATAATTTTTAATTTGTATGGATGTCCAAAAATAACTTTAAATACATTCTTCATTCAGTATTATTTCACTTTCCCTTAATAAAAATCAGAATTCACCTCAACTTTTCCATAATGTTTAATCTGAATTGAAACCAAGCATGGAAAAGGTGAGTCCCAATATTTGTCAGGTAACTCTTGGGCCAGTGGAAACAGACTAGTAATGAAATTCTTCATGTCATTTTAACTGCACTATTTACTACCTTGTCATGGTGAGGTGGTTCACACTACTGATTTACTGGTCCTTGTTAAATGTTTTAGTGGTCTTCAAACAAAAGGTACTACTTTTAAGTTAAAAAATGTACTTGGTGCCTGTCTTCATCTTGACAAGAAATCAGTCCAAGCTCAGCTTCTGATGCAAAGTTAAAATCAAGATTATGAAAATGAACCATATTCTTAAACTTAAAAGTGATGTCTGTAACTTACTATTTTGGGAGGGGGGTAGTATTAACTGAATCAAATGCTGAATAACTTTGTTTTTCATTTCTTATATAGAAGATTGAG